TTAATCATTTTTGTAATTTAGTTTAATTCATAAAGAATGTCTGATTTAAGTTAGTTATTGTAATTATAGGTTTAATTAAATTTTGAAGTAATTAATTTTTAAAAATAAATAGTGAGGTTAGAAAAAAATTGAAAAAAAAAAAACCAATTCTGGCCGCTTGACAGATTCCTCCCCCTTTCGGCAGCAGGGCTCCCGGAGATAATTTCCGGTTAGAGATGCCATGACTGGGGACCTGGTCCGGTCGGAAACCGGTCCGATCAGAATTTTTTTAATTAATTTAATAAGCTAAATTTAGTTTTTAATTAGTTTGTAATTTAGTTTAATTCATAAAGAATGTGTGATTTAAGTTAGTTATTGTAATTATACGTTCAATTAAATTTTAAGTAATTAATTTTTTAAAATAAATAGTGAGGTTAGTGATATTCAGGCCCCAACTGCCCCAAAAATACCCAAGGGGTATACCCCATGAATGGACATATATACAATCTAGTTTCCTAGTTTCACCTCTTCCTGATTTTATTGCATTTATAGAGAAAAGTTTCCAAAGGTAGAAAATATTCTAACCTTTGGACTTATATATCAAGCATATCTAGTTCTAATATAAGGAAAGGATATTTGATCTAAGATCAATAATCCTTTTACATCTCCAGATAAAGAATTAAACTAGACTACATTTCAGAACTGCCAGAAGATGCACTTTTAGCTAATCTATCTGCCACTGAATTTGCTTCTCTATAAATATGCAATACCTGATAGCCATTCTTCTGAAGAATAAAAGACATTTCCTGAAAAGGCATGAAATACTCCCATGGAAAACCAAAACCGCGAGTTAAGATATCTGCCAAGGCCTTATTATCTGTCTGAAGAATAACATTTGGAAGGCACAAAATGCAACATTTCCACAATCCAAAAAGCGCACCAAGAACTTCGGCTTTAAAACTATCACCCCCTCCTAGATAGCCAAACTTACCATACACAAGTAAACCTCCTTCTCCGCGAACCACAAATCCATAACCTGAGTCATTATTCATTGATTCATATTCAAAATGAAAGGGTTTGGCACTGGGGGAGACTAAAAAACTTTCAAAAACTACAACCGAATAATGCGGGTTAGGGTAAGACCAAAGTTTACCCTAATGAAATATCTTTCCTCCTCATTAGAAATCTTCAAATCATGAATAGATAGAAGAGATCGGGCTTGCTCCATTGTAACATGGATTAAACCCTTAACATTTGGCCGTTTTCCATCAAAAATGAATTTGTTCTGAGCCTTCGCAATCTCCCACAAAATAATTGCTGGAATGATCTTTCAAAGTGCACCACTCACTGTCTTGAAGTCACCTTTCCTTCACCACCATTGCATCATTGAGACAAGTGAATTAACTCCCAAGACACTAATCCTCATAATAGCTGCAAAATGAAACCAAAGTTGCCTAGCCATGATACAACCAAAAAAAAAATGATCAATTTCATCATTTCCAGCCATACACAAACTACATATTGATGGAGAAGTATGTATCCCCATTCGGCTTAAAACTTCGGGGAAGGCCATCAATATATTACGCAGCCTCCATATAAAAGTAGAAACTCTTAATGGAATCTTAGAACTCCATACATTTCGCGCCCAACCTTCTTTTGGTTTCTTGCGCCTCAAGGCTTCATAGGCTGATTTCACCGTGAATTCTCCATTAGGAGTTGGATGTCAAAAAGGAATATCATCATCATCTTCAAAATCATGACAAAACTCCACAAGAAAGGTAACAACATGTTCAGGAAGAAATACATAAATTCATCAAGAAAATGTTGTTTGTTATAAAAGAAATTATAAAAGAAATCCTTTATACTCAAACCTGGATTAGGTGGATCATCATGATTGCCATCCCATAATACTCCAAAAGGCGACCAATTGTCATACCAAAAAGAACGAAACAAGTACTTTGGTGAGTTGAACCGCGTGCTGCTCAATGCCCTTAAGGTGGTCCCATGATATTTTCCTCTTCGAAGAACGCGACAAAGAGTCCAAAAACCTACACCAAATTCCCTTTTTCTGTATCCATTTCCACCATAGTTTACATGATAAAGCATCAATATTCTCATGAAACTTGCGAATCCCCAAGCCATTTTTCCAGTGCTGGAAAAGTAATTCGTTCCCAGGATCTCATATGCCTTTTACTTTCATCCACAACTCCACACCATAAGAACCATTGGCATTTACTTATTTTCTGAATAATGGCCTTTGGAGGTGGTATAGCCGAGAATATATGAATAGGGATTGAAGACAAAGCATGCTTAAAGAGAATAAACCAGCCTCCCATGCTTAATCATTTGTTTTTCCAACTCAAGAGCTTTACTATCCAACTTGTCCAATAAAAATTGGAAAGTGGAAGATTTGCGCCTTCTTTGATATATATGACAACCAAGATAGGTAAAAGGGAAAATGCCCTTATCAATTCCAAGAGCACCTTGAATGATCGTGACCCTTCTTGCTGGACACTTCTGAGAAACCATGAAAGTACTTTTTTGTCGATTTATTTTTTGACCAGAAGCTGTCTCATAGGCAACAAAAAATCCATTAAGCTCTCTCAAAGATCTTTTTAACCCCCTTGAGAAGATAATTAAGTCATCAGCAAAGGCAAGAAGTGAAACAACCATTGATCTTGAAGGAGTTCTATAACCAGCCACCTTCCCAGAAACAACTAAAGCATTAAGTTTTCTAGTCATAGCTTCTGAGACCAAGATGAATAAATAGGGAGACAATGGATACCCTTGCTTGATGTCGTGGGAAGACTGAAGAAATCCAACAGAGGATCCATTATCATGATGGAGAACCAGTTATTCCTTAAGTTATTCATTATCAAAAGGACAAAAGAAGACGGGAAACCAAACTTGAGCAATACTTTTTCCAAAAAGCTCCACTTAACACGATCAAAAGCCTTCATCATATCCAACTTCAAAATGAAATTCTCCCCTTCAGCCTTCTCATCAAGAAATTGGCATAGGTCTTGAGTAAGCAAAATATTATCAAATATATCCCTCCCTTCTAGAAACGCTGACTGCTCTTCCGATATTAGTTTTGGCAACAGAACTTTGAGTCTATCCGTAAGAACCTTTGTAAACACTTTATTCAGAAAATTACAAAGGCTTATAGGCCTATAATCTGAGAAAGTATTGACAGTATTTTTCTTTGGGATCAAATTAATTAGAGTACTCGCTATCGATCTAGGAATAAGGATACCATGCATAAACTCTTTACAAGCAGCCCATAGATCTGGTGAAATTATATCCCAACAAGATCTATAGAAAACTCGTCCAAATCCATCAATTCCTGGTGCACTCTCTTCATCTAAATTAAACACCGTCTCCTTAACCTCTTCTAAAGAAATTGGCTTAGACAGCACCCAAGCATCATCTTGAGTAAGAGTAGAAGGGATATGTTGGAGGAGATCATCTTGCGCAGCTTCACAATCTTGGTCATCATTCGGATCATTCAAAAGATCTTTAAAGAACCTCACTGCCTCTTGCTTAATTCCAGCCCTAGAAGTCAACATAGAACCATCTACTGCTTGAATTTTAAAAAGGCTTTGCTTCACTTGTCGTTCCTTCAAAACAACATGAAAATACTTGGTATTAGCATCACCCTCTTTCATCCACTTTAGTTGCATCTTTTGTGACCAAAAGTCATCATTTTCCTTCAACTACAGCAGCAAATTAGCCTTAGCCAAATGTACATTAATTCTATCTTGGTCCATTCCATAGATATCAAACAAACCCTCAAGATGTTGGACCTTCTCCTCCGCTTCTTTTAAATTTTGGAAAACATCTCCAACAACTTCCTTGTTACACACCTTCAGCCGCATCTTCAAGCGTCGAAGTTTCAAAGAAAACATAAGCATTCCTTATTGCTCCATTGGCTCATCCAAGCAAATTTAACCAAATCTTTAAACTCCTCCCGTCGCTATCACATCTTTTGAAATCTAAAAACCCTCGGTTTGCTTTCATCTTGCCAGCAAAGAAGTGCAATAACGGGCTATGATTTGAGGTGGTTCTGTTTAAATTTTCCATAGAAGAATTCGGAAAAGAATCATGCCATTCTTGAGAGACTGAAACTCGATCAAACTTTTTATTAACCCATCCAGCAGACCTTGTTCATCCCCAAGTGAAATCCTCACCCGTCACCGGTAATTCAATCAAATCACAATCAGAAATACATTCATTAAACTCCGAGATAGCCCGATGGTCTTGAATTGATATCCTCGAATATTCATCCAACGAACAAATAACATTGAAGTCCCCAGCCACCATCCACAGAAAACATGAAATGTTAGGTCTGAAATCCACCAAATTCCTCCACAAAGATTGCCTCGCAGCCCTAGTTGTTTTAGCATAAACAACTGAGAAAAAGAACTTGGTGGAAACGGAAACATGTGAAACCTCAAAGTGAAGCACTTGATCATTGTTACCAACCACCGTTGCTGTGAACTCCTTCTAACAAAAGACCCGAATCTTGCTAGAACATGATGAAAAAGCCTGATCAAAGTTGAGCTCTCACCGTATACTTTCAATCTGGCTACAATCAATCATCAGTTCCAATATAATCAGAATAGAAAATTTATACATTCTTATCAAAGATTTCAAGTGTCGCTGGGAAGCTTGATTTTTTATTCCTCTAACTTTCCAAATTAATTGACTAATCATGGAAAAAATATTAAAGAAAAAGAGAGCAGCGGAAACTTATTCTTGAAGATGCGGCGACCTTCTTGGGACCACCCCTTCTTGCATCAATTTCCGTTCAGCCTTGAACTTACGACCATGCTTCTTAAGCATAGATTCATCCCCTTGCACAGAATCTTGCTCACGTGCATCATCATTATCTTCATCAGACCAAACATCGCGATCACAGTCTTCAATCTCCTTAGTTCCTGAAGATTTACAAATCGCACCATCATCCAGAGATCTACCAACTTCTAAAAATTTCCTCTATCCAGCTGCTGTATAGGCACCTATACCTCCTCAAGGGGTTGCGGAGCTATAGCTGGATTAGGATACTCCAAAGAATATAGGCCAAAAGTGAGATCCTCAATACACACAGTTTCAACATTATCATCTTCCACATCGTCAACTACTTCATTTTCAGCTTCATCAATAGTCTCCAACACACAAAGCGGTTTGAAACCACTGATGGTGGAGGCAGTTCATCAGGTATGTCCACCGGAATAGCTAGCTTCTCTGAAATTGACAATCCCGACGTTGATTCAGTTGGTCACGCAACAAGGGTCTGTGCAACTAGGGTTTTCGCAGGTAGAGTTTCCGCAGGCCGCGACTCAACATCTTGCAACTCAACTTCTTTGACGATCAACGGATTTTCTTGAATGATATCAACCTGTAAATCAGAATTCTTACCCATCTTTTTTGACACCCAAGTCACTTTTGACGGCTGCAACCTGAACCCTTTCCTATTTGTGGCCAAACTCACCTCCTTCGCGGCATCCACTGGCTTTCTTGAATCATCCATCTTTGGCACATTCAGCGCCAATCCTTTTCCCTTTCTTCATTCCGTTTCTTTATGCCCTATCTTACTACAAGCAGGGCCGTATGATGGAACATATTCATAAGTATAGTGTTGCTCATATTTTTTCCCTTTTCTCCCTATGCGAATTGACTTCAGAAGCTCCTTTGTTAAGTCAATCTCTACACAGAAACGGCTGTAGACGGCCTCGTGAAATTGAGCGTTGGCGTGTCAACTTGAAGAGGTTTTCCGACTGCGGAAGCAACAGAGAATAGAACTTTCGGATGGGTCCATTCAAGAGGGAGCTCATGGAGCGACACCCATATTGAAACATTCGGAGGGTCTTCTTCAAATTCAAAGCTCGGTTTCCACTTCAAGATTCGCATTGGTAGCCACCAATATTCCATAAAGAAGTAATCTAACAAAGTTGGTAGTCTTCCTCTAATTCGACATGTATCAACACATGTTGCGGATTCATAAGACCAAGAAAGCATGATCCTTTGAACCCTATTTTCTTGAAATCCTCACGCAAGACCTCCATTTTCGGCCATCCATAGGAGAACTTACCCACCAGATTCATTTTGTGCAGAGCAATCAATTCTTCAAATTCCTCATCATCATACTCGAGCTCCGGCATCCCATTGAAGAAAGTGACCTTCTTAGGGTTTATTGGAGAGCTTGAGCCATCCAATGGCTTATTTATTTCAACCGATTTTGTGAAAAGACTAGCAAATATGCAGCTTTGTCCAATGGGGACAGCCGTATTTGAGCCAGCCTTAGGCATGCCGGCCATGGTGGCTGGGAAAAAAATAGTCGACAAGATTTTAGGGTTTTCTTGATCGTGTGAGAGAGAGAGTTTTAGCTTGCAAGTCTGAAAAGTAGGTTATTTCAATTTTAAGTAATTATTTAATTAGTTAGTTATTGTAATTTTATTCCTAATTAAATTCTAAGTAATTATTTAGTTTTTTAAATTTTACGTTCAATTAACTTCTAAGAAATTATTTAATTATTTAGTTATTGTAATCTTTTTTTTAATTAAATTTTAAGTAAATATAAACTATTTAAGGTTTTTGAAAAAGTTTTGGGTTTAGGGTGTCGATAATCTAAATTATAATAATTTTAGTTACAATTTTTTTTTGGGTTTGGATCACTAAAATTCTTTTAATTTGTAGTTAGATTAATTTAATTTATATTAATTTTTTTTTAGCGTTGGAATGACCAAATTTAACTTAGATTATGAATCAAGAAATGAATATATTATCAATTTATAGAACTATGCAATTAGCTAACTTGTTATTGATTTTACATCCAAATCAATTATTTTATTTATCAATTTGAAAAGTTAAGACAAGAGGAAAATGTGCAGGAGGTTTATTGCGATGATGATGATACTGATGACTCTAGTAAGCGCAATGTTCGTAAGCAAGGTGTGACCATGAGTCGTCGGGGTAAAAGACACACATGGCAATGGCTCAATCAATATGGGCACTGTACCGCTTGAGTCGGGGTTTAGAGAGGTGATTAATGTACGCGATAATGATGAGGATGAGGAGGATGAGGAGAATGAATATGATGAGGAGGATATGGAGGACACCGTTAAGACGGGTGCACATCTCGGAGGTCGCTCTGTGTACAACCCCCTTAGGGGTCACATTCCAGTTCATGGTAGTTACCCCCCTTCCCCGTTGGTCATGAGTGGTCCGGTCACGGAGGTTTACCCCCTCCCCTACCCCTTCCCCTATTGGTGGTCAGTGTGCTGATCACGGAGGCCACCCCCTCCCCATGTTTGTGGTTTTAAAAGTCCTTCTGTTGGTCCTCAACGTGTCCTTGGGGGCCATCTACAGTGTCAGCGTATAATCCCTCTCTCTGTCATGTGTTCATATCCCTCAGTGTTTCTTTCGTAGTAGTCAACCTCGACCCTCCCGTGCTGGTCAAGCCCATCCCCCCTCCCGTTGATCCCATTCGCACTCGTGGAGGTCCCATCTTCGCTATTGTATTTAGCCTTCCTGTTACCACCGCTGCATCATTAGCTATCAATTATATTTATTTAATTAGAGTTAATTATATTTATTTAATTATTTTTATTTAATTATATTTTATTAAATTTAATTGAATATCTTTTGAAGTGTAATAAATATATGTAATTATTCAGTTTCAGGGATTAGCGGCCAATTGATGTTTTCTGACGATGAAAATGATGATAATAATTGGGAAGTAACAGATGAAGGACCTGGTGGGCCGATAAATGGTTGTGTGATTCCTAGTTTTCTCGAGCATACTACTTATAGGTTGTGAAAAAGTAAGCCTAGACCACCCTGAGGGTGCATAAAGGCATTAAGATTTTCAGTAAGTGTCAAACGTGGCATTGGATGATTCAGTGAAGGGCAAGATTCAAGCGATTTGATTGGGTCACCTTCTTGATACCACGTACCAGGATATTGATGTTGCCCTAGTATGTGCATTCGTTGAGAGGTGGCAGCCTAACAAAAACTCTTTTCATTTGCCGTTCGAGGAGATGACCATCATGATGCATGATGTTTATCACATTTTGCGCCTTGAGGTTGAGGGAGATTTGGTGTCGGGTACGCCTGGAACGGATGTGTTGAGGGGACATTGAGTAGGGATACTTGGTATGTCCATGTCTGATTATCATTGAAGTATGGCAGCGTCACGGATTTGCTTATCTTTGAGTGATGCAGAACGCGAACGAGGATACCCAGGTCGCTGGTTTCTTGTGGATAGTGTTAGTTTCGACACTGTTCATGGACAAGAGTGGTGGTAGGTGCAGTATTTCACTTGTGAATGAGCTTATTGGGGGAGGGGGTCGAGAATTTTTATTCATACTCGTGGGGTTTCGGTACGCTGGCCTTCCTGTATCGTCAGCTAGGGATTGCTAGCAGGGCAAAGTGCACTCAATTGTGTGGTTATTTGACCTACGAGTATTTTCCATGCTTCCGGCCCCAGGGAGGGCGAGTTACTAGTACGTTTACAGGCTCAGCCAAAGCACGATACTAGATACCGCCATGATATGTGGGTCCAACGGTGTGGAGGATCGTCTCCGGCAGCTTAGGGAGCGTATTGACAGATTGAGCGAGAAAGAGGTACACTATAGTTTTGTTTTATAGTTTTTTTAGGACACACAACCATTTTTTTTGGTTGTACACTCAAATAATGTTTGCTTTTCTTATTTTTAGTGGATGAATGAATTGAGGAAGGTCACTAAGAATATGATCAATGAGGTGAAGTCAATTGATCGGAATCTTGTTGATGAATATACATAGCAGTTGCTGGACATGATGATCCGTTATTATAAGGCCTCATGAGCATTATCATTGTTGTGTACTTTTTATTTAGTAATGATGTACTTACAGTTGTGTTTTAATGTTTTCTTTAACTGGATTTGATTTTTTAATGCAATTAGTGTGCGAATATATTTGGCAACGTGTTCTCTAATTGGATGTGATTTTTTTTTTACAAGTGTTGTGTGTTATTATTTGGAAAATCTCATTTATTACGTAGTCCACAAAAAAAAATGTTATAATATATTTTATAACGAAGTACACAATAGATAATATCTTAAATATATCAACATGTCATAAGTTAGTATATATTACAAGATCGCTTGGTCCGATATCGAGGGGGACCAACCTATACCATTCATTTATTTTGGGAAGAAGGGTAATTCTCAACCAACAACACTAGGGTGGCTTTCCTTGGTCCACGCAGCATGGATCGGCAGAATTGGAAAATCACCGTCCAAATTTAGCCGAATTAAGTGCTCATAAATACCAAGGTGGCATACCACAATATGATAAAGTGGACATGTTGTCCCGTCGTGGGCAACAACAGTTGGTATAGTCTAACATGTAGTGTTTAGTGAATGAATCCTGTCTCTGGTACCAAAATAGTACACAACTGTATTGTTCATAGTTGCAACCACGAACAAGTCCGTTGCATCCATCCAATGCAATATAGGTGCGAAATCGCTACCTCTGTACCGTATACGCGGACTTCATCGACCATGTTGGTCCTGCATTTGCGTGGATAATTACTTGGCTAAAATAAGGCTACATGTGAAGGAAAATTATATAGAAAATGTAAAGTAGTAGTAACCATAAATTCTCCGGTACATATGCCAATTCTCTTCTAGCTCGGCCGCCATTAACTCTCTCTCCCTCTCCCAATCATGCTGGCCGTTGCACATGCTATGATGCGAAATTAAGATTAAATGCATGTAACTATTAAATAAAATTATCATTACATGAATAATAACAGATGATTATTAACACCAAATATATATATTATTAATTCTAAATAATTGAACCAAAAATACTTTAAATGTATACTATATAATAATAATGAATTATAAGTAATTATTAACTTAAATAAAACTAATTGTAAATCTATTTAAAATATATAAAAAAAACATAATGGAGTGAGAACTTACCGTATTTCAGTAAGCTGAGTCTGAATTTCCAAGTTTACCTTGCCCCAAATTGTATCGAGTGCCCTAGTAGACGTTTCCAGCCAATCTTTCAACACGGCGTGCGCGCTCTCCACTCTGCATGTAGTAGTATTGCCCATATAAAACACACCGTTTGTCGACATTCATGAACTTGTACTTATCCACTAACCATATGTTGATAAGATATTAAACACTGCCAAAAATTTACCCAAGAACAGCTCAATGCCGCAACATATACATCGTATTTTGCTTTTGTTTCAGCTTCCATCACTGTTTCCACATCCGGTGTGTGAAAGCATTTGCATGCTAATGATGTATCTTCAATTTGTCACGGAGATGTCGCTTTACATCTCTATAAATGTGCCAAGTGCACAATAACTGGACTGAATCAGGAAAATCACACATAGAGGCGCCATCAACTCCGATTCTAATCAGTAACAATGACAAATGGATACATATTATCTGGAAGTAATATACAGAACTGTCCGATGCCCAATCATAATTGTTCACAGTCTTGTCACTCATAGGTGCGTGTGCAATCAAGAAGTTCTGGTTACACAGTGCCATCCCAATAAACTCAACTTACGGCATCAAATACTTGCTCATCTTGTGTGTGGAGTCTATGCCGACGAACCAATAATAAGTGCAAGATAAACTGACAAAATCAAGATGTGCAAAGAAAACACGACTCAGCGCACTTGTCTCCTGATTGGCATCCGTCATAATGATATATCGATGATCCTTAGCGGCCGATAGAGTCTTTCTCGCAACTTTTATGGTACTCGAGTCACCCAATACCGGGAACTATCTACTTGGCGTTTGTTAATGCGTTCATCCAGAAATTGTCTCTGACTTGCTGCCATGATATCCATGTTATTACTCGGCCTGCACCCATTAAGATATTTCATGTAATTTTGTGTTACTCTGCTGAGGTCCCTCGTGGGATGATCTTTGTCAAACAGGGCATGGTTGTGTATTCCAAACTCACGGGGATAAGCACGGATGCCTCACTCATCACCAACCGCGAGCACAAATACTTTAAACTTATAGCCAGTGATTTGTGACTTTGTATTTGTGCACACAAATTCTTCACCATCTTCAAGTCTTGCTCTAGTGTTTCCACCTTTACAACATCTCAGTAAAGTGCCTTTAGTTTCCTCACCCGAAACTGTATTTATCTTTATACCATATTTAAAGCGTTGATGGCTTTCATCCAATCAACAGCTTCCTCTATTTTTGCAAATATCTCATCAGTGAAAAACTTTTCACTGTAATTAACACAATCGCCACCCAACTCTTTAAACGATCCTACAAATGTCAATCATACTACTTCAAAATAATAATAAAATATCAAATCAAAATTAAACACAATTAATTATACTAATTATTCTAATTAAACTAAAATTTATAATCACTTCTAAATACTAATAATGATTAATTAAAAAATGTAACTAATATACTAAAAATAATTATTAATTTTAACAAATAAATAAAAAATAAATAGATTTCAAATAATTTTTCCCAAACTAACACACAATGAAAATAAAACAAAAAAATATACTATAATCTTTAAAACCAGTAAATCAATTTAAAATAAATAATTAAATTGAATTTACAATTCATTCCAAATACATAATAATATTATCATATACAAAATAAATTCTAATTAGGTAAATCATAAGTTATAACTATTTCAACCTAAATATATGAAACATAGTGATTAAATAAATAAATTTCAATTAATTTTAAAAAACAAAAAATTAACTAAACAATAATGAAAACAATTAATCTTTGAAATAAATAATTAAATTAATAAAAAATAAACAACAAATAAAAAATTAAAGACAGGCGACCGGGCAATAAATCCTCCCGGTCAAGGACAAACCAGATAGAAAATTCGGTCCAAAAATAATAAAACGAGCAAACCGCCCGTCCACACGAAAAACAAACGAGCGATCTGCCCCTTCGGGCAGAAAGCAGACGAACAGACCGCCTGTCCCTGGGCCAACCTGAATGGGTATATTGCCTGGCCGACCGATTTTTCACCGGTTTTGCCCATTCGGTCGGGCAATATACCCATCCCGTCCCTGACCGAACGGGTTGGTTGCCAGTTCTCAATTAAACCGTCTGGAGCGGTTTTTCTGAACTTTTTTTTCCCTTACCTCAGAATCGCTCATTCTCTCTTTTCTCCAAATTCTATTTGGTAAAATTACAAGGGCAAAATTAACTGGTGGCTTCAAATAGTACCACACTATCTATTCAGTGAAACTTTATAGATATTCATTGTTTTCATAAATATTTTGGTTTAGGAATTCATGGAACCAACCGGAGTGCCATAGGCAGCCACCCTACCATCCGCCACCAAGGATTTGAAATGCCATGTCATTGCTTCATAGACAAGAATGAAGAGATAAGGGGACAACGGATCTCCTTGCTTGATACCTGGAGAAGATTTAGAGAAACCAACCGGACTCCCATTTATCATAACCGAGAACCAAGCATTTTTCAAATTGTTCATCACCAAAGCAACAAAAGGAATAGGGAAACCAAACTTTAACATTACTCTTTCCAAGAAGCTCCACCTTACCCTGTCGAAGGCTTTCATCATATCAAGTTTAAGCACATGATTCCCTCATTCTGCCTTACGCCCCAAGAATGGCAAAGGTCATGTGATAACAATACATTATCCATTATATCCCTCCCATTCAAAAAAGCAGATTGCTCCTCCGAAATGAGTCCTGGCAGCACCATTTTAAGTCTCTCCGTCAAGATCTTTGTGAAGACTTTGTTCAAGAAATTACATAGGCTAATAGGCCTATAATCAGCAAAAGTGAAAACCACAACCTTCTTAGGAATGAGAGTAATCAAAGTACCTGAAATCGACCTTGGAATAGATACACCAAGAATGAATTCTTAGCAAGCGCGCCACAAATCATTCGCAATAATTCCCCAACAGCCTTTATAGAAAGTTCCCCCAAAACCATCAACACCCGGGGCACTATCTTCACTTAGATTAAATACGGCCTCTTTCACTTCCGCGAGCAAGATAGGCCTTAATAATCCATTCCTATCATCATCACCTAGCAACCTCGAAATATGATTGAGAAAGACATCTTGCTTTTGTTCACAAACCGAATCAACCTCGTTATCATTCAAAAGAGCCGAGAAGAAAGACACAACTTCTTGCTCAATATCAGCCATGTTAGTCAACATTTCTCCATTTTCAGATTGGATTTTGAAGTTCCCTTGCCTTAACCTCCTTTCCTTCAGGGAAGCATGAAAGAAAGAAGTGTTAGAACCTCCTTCCTTCATCTATTTAAGCCTCATTTTTTGAGTCCAAAAGTCATCATGTTCTTTAATTCTCATAACTAATTTAGCGTTAGCAACATTCAACCGCACTCTATCATGACTTGCCCCCGAAATATCAAAAATGCCTTCTAGCTCTTGCACCTTCTTTTCAGCTTCTTTTAAATTAATAAAGACGTCACCAAATGTCTCTTTATTCCACTCTTTTAATTTGGCCTTCAACCTACGCAACTTGAGTGAGAACCCTAACATTCTATAGGCCTCCACGGTCAATTCCCAATTCTGCTTCACAATGGTAAGGAAATCCGGCCTCCTCAACCACATTTTCTAGAATCGGAAAACTTTCGGTTTGCTAGCCATTTGAGTGTCAAATAGATGCAACATTAGACAATAATCAGATCTAGTGCGACTTAGATTCTCAAGTGATGAGGCCGGAAACAAATCATGCCATTCCGGTGTTATCAAGACCCTATCAAGCTTTTTACTAACCCATCCTGTTTGGTGAGCACCTCCCCATGTGAACTCTTCCCCTGGCGGCTAAATATCATCAAGATCATAACCCTGAACGCAATCATTAAAATCTGATATAGCTGCCAAGTCTTGAACTGAAGATCCAGAATATTCATCCAAAGAGCGAATGACATTAAAGTCGCCACCAATCATCCAATGGGCTGACGGATGAAGCTGTCTAAAAGTAGTCATATGTTGCCACAATGCACGACGCTCCATCCTAGTTGATTTAGCATACACAGCTGAAAAATAAAAAGTTTCATTCACCATAGCATTAGTAAATTCAAAATGGAGGACTTGTTCCAAATCCTCCAACAAAGTAAGCATAAACCCATGCCTACTAAACACCCAAATTTTGCTATTCTCAGAAGAAAAAGAAAATTCAAAACCAATCTCTCGTCTAACATCATCAGTCTGCATACTAGAAACCATAGGCTCCAAAATAAACAAAACCAACACCTTGTAGATGTTGATCAAAGCTCTCAAACATTGTTGGGAAGCTTGATTCTTTATTCCTCTAATATTCCATATAAGTTGACTTAACATAGAAAAAATTAATGGAAAAAGAAAACATTACTGTAACCTAGGTGATCTTCGAGGGATCACCCCTTTGAGTAATTCGACCTTTTCAGCTTTCGACTTCAGGCCTCGTTTGCGCGACACTTTTACATCCTCATGAAATAAACCCTTATCAGAGTCAATAACAAGGACATTCTTCATATCTCCTTCTGACCAACATCCATGATTCCCCGATACAGACCCCAAAAAATCCAAGGTTACTCAAACAGCTCCACCATCCGAAATTAGCCAAAGCACAATGGAACAGCATTATCCAGCTTATGCAAAGCATTTTCTACCTCAGCAGAGGTTATAGAATCCAACTGCTCTACATAAACTTCTTCAACGTGATCCTCTTCTTCATCCTCATGATCTTCACAATCAGCTTCATCACTTGTGTTCAACAAAGCAAACCGATTTTCTGTTGCCGCCGCATGGTTTTGTTTGCCCAAAATAGGATCAGTTTGAGGCTTCTCAAGAGAGCATGTTACTGCTTGTGGAGGATCATGCTGCTCGATGGAAGTGGCATGAATTCCCTGTTCAGGTAACTCAAGTATCGCGACATCAACATTGGTCTTGCAGGTCGCAGGAAAGGAGTCTCCACAAGGCTGAGTTCCGCAACCTGCGACTAGGGTTTCCGCGAGGCCAACCTGCTGTGATTTCGTGCTGCAGTATTCCTTGGGCGGGGAGTCACGGATGTCCATGATGGTTGCTGCTTTCTTTTTCTCGGTCAATCCAGATGATGACCCAACAATAGTGGAGTTCCTCTTTTCAGTTTTAGTAGCCAAAGTTTTCTCAGAAACCCTAGCGCAAGGGTGCGACTCGCGGTGGTTGTGAGGGTTTCGTTTTCTTAACTCCACGCTCATCCGATTGTTTTTTGCCTTTTAATTCGAAGGAATGGTTACCGAATTAGACATGTATTTAGAGAAGTCAACTCTGTAGTGGACTGGCTAGCTAAAGAAGCTGCTTCTGGGATGTCCCAAATTCATTCTTCTATAGATAGCCTACCTAGCCATGTAAAACGATTATTGATTTTAGATCAATAATCCTTCCCTTATATTCGAAGTAGGAGCTCCATGTAACTGTGGCTAGTTTATATGCTACCACTTCTCTATATTTGAATTAGTAAAATTCTTGGGAGGGACGAAACTAGGAAACTAGATGGTATGTGTATCCATCCCTTGGGTATACCCTTGGGTGCATAGTACCATCTAGCACTGACTTATTTATAAAATAACTCTTGAATACACCCCTTCAGTATTTTATGAGTTAGTTGGGACCTGAAAATAGTTCTAAATCCCGCTCTTTTTTAAATATATATATATATATATATATATTGGTTTCTTCGTACGAAAATTGAAACATGTGATCATGCATATCATCGTTTTCCATTAACATTTTGTTTTTTTTTTCGTATGAAAATTGAAACATGTTCTCATGGAAGAAGGTCAAGAAACTAGGTGGCTAATCAACAAACTGAATAGTCACTTGCTGACCTTGAAAGAATAATCCATCATAACTTAAGGCATGACATTTTTGTTGTATTAACTTCGTGGACACTGGAGCTTTTGGATAGAAGATGGACAGTGGAGCTGAAGCACATCTCTAGGGAGTTTAACTTCGTCGCAGATTACTTAGCATCCGCGGCATATGAGAAATGGCAGGGGCTGAAATGCCTAACAGATCCCCCCGTTAGAGCCATTTATTGGTTACAACATGATGTAATCCGAGTGTTGTACCTCCGGATCATCTCAGTTTAAATAAAATTGGATGCCCCAAATTAACAAAGAAAAAAAAAAAAAAACAAGGTCGTAGTAGTAACCTTGTTGGTGTATTAATCTCAATCAGAATTTATGAAATCATGTTTGTCATGAATTTTGTGTTATTTTGTATGAAATTTGAAATGGTAATTCATGAATATTTGTTCATATTGGTATGAAATTTATAACATTGGACACAAATTCATAAAAGTAAGTCTAAGTGTGCAACTTGCCATCAATTCAACTACTCCAATGAAATACTAACCAACAATCTAGGTAATTAAGCTCGGGAAGACCATGCAGGAAACAACTTTCCACTTTTTCCATGTGTTCTTCCTTAACCTTCATTTCAAGCTTTAAGGAACCGCGTTTGGTCAACTTCGACTGCTTCACATATATGGCTGGTTTGAGTTCTTCCTCGAGAGGCATGATCTTCCTTTGGAATTCTTCAATTTTCCAGATTTTTTTTTTCTCAAGTTTAAGGTTCAGTCGTTTTAGGTCTTCTCAATTCTTTACATTTTGCGTTATCGTCAACATATTTAACTAATCTTTGAAGACTTGAACATCATATCCGTGGCTTTCCATCATTAAGCACCTATCTAAAATATCATGAATGACGTTTCATGGTACATCTGGCCCTAACTCAGAATTTATCGCTACCACATTACCGAAATTCACCATTACCCTGATAGCCATGGCTTGTCACATGCTCTCTCTTTTACTTCCTAAAGACCCAATGTGTGGACAATAAAGAAAACTGAATAAAGCCACCAAGAAGGACCATTTTCCCCTACTCTTCATTGATCAAATGTTGAAAAGATTGGCATAATTTATATATTATTGTTTCCTACATTGTTATTCATGATATAATCAAATTGCCATAGCACTTGAAGACCAAAAGAAAACAACATTAATGTCCTTATGGTACTGATATGCTTTAAAGTTGATTTTTTTTCCCTTTCGAACTGAAAAAAGGGACTTAATTCTGGAGTGCCCCCTTTAGGCCCCTTAAAAGGCTTGAACTGGCCCTCACCACAAAGATCAAATGCTTTTTAGTAGTAAAAACCCCAAAGATTGCGACTCGGATCCGGTTATAACCCATAAGTTCAAATCGTTCCTAGTACACCCCAAATGTTAGTACTGTCCCAGAATCCTAAAATCCTCTCTGTTACCGTCAAAAAGTTAACAGGCATGTGATTGGCATGTGCTATGGTTTGGCGGCATTCAAAGTCCAGCTAAAAAGGCATGTGATTCACACGTGATATGGGTTGGGGGTATTTCAAGTCCAGCCAAAAAGTATTTCTTAGGAGCGGGAAACTTGGATATCTCCCAAAATTTTAAAAGTGTTTGGAAGCAAATAAGGGGGAAAATAAAAATAGTTTCCCCACATATCCTCAATTCATGAACCCTAATTTCTTACACAATACTCTCAATGAAATATATCCCCAAGTCCTTCTGACCCCCTTTCTGCAGTCTGACCTTTATCGAATATATTCCCAATTCCTTACAATCAAATCAAACCCCTCCCAATTTCTACAATCCAATAAAAGCCTCCCCAAGATCCCATATCTTAAATCCAAAATCCCTTGAGAATCGATTCGAATCCGTAACCAAATACAATTTCCAAAATTCATGTTACAGTTATTTTCGATCCCAAATTTAGCAAACTCCCCATCTGTTAGATAATAACTTGATTCAAACCCCCAATTCTCAGATATCTGAGAGCAGTGTAATTGTTTCCGGTGGAAATTTGACCATATATTGTGGTGAATGTGGAAAGAGGACTTTTAGGAACAAGTCTAATTCAGCCCGCAATCGGGGGCGTTTTTACTTTAAATGCCCAACGCATGGATGGCAAGCGTGAGAAGATGAAATAATGCTCGACAGTAGCACCCAAGGATCATGGAAAAGATAGTTTATAAGTGGGGAAGAAAGGTCTACTGCTGGGATTGGTGGGTTCAATGAAAATGAAGGCGAAAGGAACGAAACCAACGATAAGAGTTTTTGCTGCAATCTGAAAATAAAGTTGGATGCCCTGTTTTTGCTGGTGGATGTAGTGTTGATGATGAATGTTATTTTGGTTCTAATGGTGTTGGTTGTGTTATTGAAGACTTAATTGTTGGATCTCGTGAAAGTTATTAGTTTCGTGTTGTGTGGAAGAGTGGGATAACCTTCCGTCGACAGCAATTAGCATCTCTTCAGTAAAATTCGTAGTAATGTGTAGGTTATAAGAAAGATGTTGTAATTAGATATATATTAAGCACCGCTGGTAGTCGTTTGATTATATTCTTGTAAAATGCCTTGGCTACTCAATTGCTCCGATAATCCTTTCGATATAGCTGAAGTTGAATTTCTACTGGAAATGAACGTTTATCAGATATCTTTTGATGATTTGAACACTTGTTCTAAAATTCTGTCCACCAGTATCCATATTCCCGAATTCAGTTACTAATAATTTACATAAATAGATCCACAAAAGATTACTGTAAAATTCTAAATTATAGCAATTGTTATTCAGTGCAACAATACTATGAATATTTTACTTGGTGGCTGAGTTGTAAGGGAAGGACAAAAAGCTACTAATCAGCCAGAAAATACATTGTACTGGCAGGCAAAAAACCACTAATCAGCCCCAAAATATATTTTCTTCCACAAAAAACAGGTCCACAATTGACCTGAAAAGAAAAAGAGTTCCATGAAATATTATAGTCCATGAGAAAAAACTAAACTACCGAATATTGAAGGCACCGATTCCAGCAAATTGAAGTACACCAACGTCGAGTTTGAGAGTCAATTTTGTGCAAAACTGAATGTCACGTAAATTCTTGAACAGTTGCCAATCTCCATGAAAATTCAACATTCTGAATTTGAACTTCCCGTAGAGTGTGTCATCATCATCCGGCTCCAACTCCAACATGACTCGAGTGTCTCTATAGGTGACCGAGGCTCTGGTTTTGCCAGTGGACGAAACTGCTAGAATGGGCTAAACATAACAGAACAAACGAAAATCACAAAGAGCTATAAGAAAGGTTGCACTAGAAACATTGTTAAATAAGAAAGAGTGAAAGAAAAGCTGAATTAGAATACTAACCAAATTTCTAGCCAACAAAACCTGATCATCAAAAACAGATTCAAAGGTGTTGTGTTTAAGTGTAGGCAGAATTGTGCAGGGCAAGTCGTCATCACCTCTTGATTCAACTCAATGAATGTAAAAATTCATGTAAAATGCAGGCATAATTGAAGTAGGAATAAAGAAATATAATTCCAGTACTTACTAGTACCAAGATCACACATGCCATCTAAACCAAATAACTTCATTCCAATACCATCAAAGCCAGAGGCAGCAAAACCATTTGGTCCTTCGTACGTGAAAAGTACACGTTCACAGCGTTGAACGACGCAATAATGATCATAAAACTCTTTCCATTCATCACCCTTAAACATGACTACACTCTTATGAATCAAAGCCACATTGAATGTGTATGTGTCACCATGACAAGCGACTATAGACACAAAATCCACTTCTAATGCAATAAAATTGATGTAGCGGCAGCTAATAACATTTGAATTTGTATTCATATATGATTAGTTTAGGTGTAGAGTGGAATTTCTAAATTTTCTCTTCTTACATTGTACAAGTGTCACGGGATTTAAATTTGACAATAACATTATAAAATTAAAAATCAATCTCCATGGGATATACTATTCGACAAAGTAAAGACAAAAATCAATCAATATATCTGTTCACGGGATTTAAATTTGACAATAATATTATAAAATTAAAAATCAATCGCCACCTCCCTTCAGGAAAAAGGATATACTTAATTGTGGGTAGATGCATAGTTCAGAAGCACAGAAATTATTGGCTGTATGTGAATAGAAGGAGAAAGGTCGAATCTTAAGCAACAGTATTTCCACATTTTCTCCAACATCAAATGTATACTAGCGTTCTTGGATTCACAAGGAATTGAAAGGGTTTTCTGGATTGTGGGGTTGAAAGGTCCCTTTTTCGCTTTTCCTTTTTTTTTTTCTGAATACATAAACTTTTATCTTCTTTTTTTTGGGCGTACTTGGGTGTCTGGTAATTTAATTTGAATATATTTCCAGTATATAGAGTTAGTTGCGGGTAGGATTATATTTGGAAAGGGACAATCATTTTGTCGTTTAATGTATGTGAAGCTTATTTCAATCATTTTCACTAAATGTTGACCCGGGACAAGGATAATTTCCACGTATTAAAAAATAGTTTATATTTAGTTCATATGGGTTTGGATAGTGGATCTGGATTTAATTCAATAGAACGTTCATTTGTGATTGATAAATATGGTTTTATCTTTACAAGATAGTTACGAAATTGACCACGATTTTTTGTTCTTTGTGTTAGTACAATGAAAAGATTTGGGGAGCGGATATCCAATGGAAGTGGAGTGGGGTCGAAAAAACACACAAGTCCAAATTCTATAAAATAATTGACCGGCCTGTTTCTGAAGAAATTGTAAGTGTTAATTTCTGGTTTCAATATTTTCCCAACTTGCTGTTTAAATCCATGTAGTTATATGAAACCTATGTCTACGCCTGGCAGCGGATTCCATCGGCTTTTGTGTATAAACATGGGCATAAACTTGGTGAGCTGGTTACTTTGAAAGATCTATGGGGTGGTAAATGGAAGGTTACCTTACGCCATACAGATGTGGGAACTAAATTAATGGGCGAAGATTTGAAGATATTTGAACAGGAGAGAGGAATTGCCATCAATTATATGCTTGTTTTTCAATGAAGGACAATTCTAAGTTGACTGTTGGTATATATGATGACACTGCCACAGAAGTAGACTACAATGGTAAATGTAATAGCCGGTGGCTAGATAAAGATAAAGGTAAACAGTATAGAATGTCGACAGTACAAGATAAAGATAAAGGTAATACGATTCCATAATTCTGTATGTTGTTTTCTGTAATTATTAATTCAAAAATATCACAACTTGATGAATTTGTTATAGCTTTCGTCTTTAACAATCGTTAAGAAGGTCTAATTATGAATGTTATTTTCAGAATCCAGGGATGAAGAAGAGGATTTTCCGTTTTCACTTTCATAGTCAGGAAGAGCATGTGCAATTGGCCATTGCAGTTGGTTAGTGAAAGATTTATTCCTCAGTTTCATAATTATATATTAGATGGTTTTGTTATTTGTGCAACTTGTTGCTGGCTTTCTACATGTACCGGCTTCTTTTGTAAAAACTCACCTAGCTGGTGGGGAAGGAAAACCCTCTACTGTGATAGAAAATGCTCAATCTAAAAAGTCATCGAAATTTGATATGGAGGTTTGAGGGAATCTTGGAAAGATTGGTGGCGTTGCTTGGAAACAGTTGGTGCAAGATATGGACATTGACATAGGTTATGTTTGCGCACTTGAATTTGTCAAAGGGCATAACATGTTTTTTTTCCACATCATGGAAATCAACCATGCATGACTACTAGGGTTTTATGGTTTTTGTGAATGGTTCCCATCATTCTTTGGTGATCAAGATTGTATTCAATTGAATTAGTACATTTGAATATGTCTCTTTTCAATTGTTATTATGGTTGCATGAATTATTAGTGTTATTTTGGTAATAGTTGAGGTTGCATAATCGTCTATTTATTATTATTAAAGCACATATTAGGTTGTAATATTAAAACTAAATATGTATATTTATCATGAATTGGGGGCGCAATTTCCTCAATTGCACCGTTAAAGGACCTTATTGTAATTTTTGGGATATGATGAATCACTTATCCCGTTTTAACTGTTGAACGACCCTTATCGTGTCTTTCATTCAAGAAAAGAACCCTAAATCCGTTTTTAAGAACCCTGATCCCTATTTAAATGGTGTCTAATTTTATGTTGATCGGCTTATGGCATTTTCGGTGATGGGCTTGACTGCATATGAACTTATTCTTTTCAATCAGTGGAATCACAAACATCTTATTAAGGCATATCAACTATATGATCCGAATTACATGTATCCTTCACATTTTTCCACATATGTGTATATGAAACAATAATGGACTGGGGAAAATTCATGAACACAATATACTGTTAAAATCTGAAACCTTCAAATCAATAAAGTACATAATACATTGTTCATAAAACTAATTAAATCAAAACCAAAGCATTCATCAACATGACATGACTTCCCAGGAATTTAAAAAAAAATTACAATCCGAAACCAATAGTGGCACAGCAGATGTCCTAGGGACTGAGGATTTTACCCAAGCTTTTGATGCCTCCATACTTGCGAAGATTCCTCCCAAAGATTCCAGTGGACTCGTAATCATCTTCTTGAGCAACCCAAACATATAATGAATCATCGTGAGGGACATACCCTACCCAATCATGCTTCCCATTGTGATCATTCTTATAAACTTTATTAAATGCAAGCGCATCAGTTAATCCATGCAAACCAATTCTAAAATGAACAATAGTTATTCCCAAGTGGCCAAAGTGGTCATGTGGATTGTGATATTGAAAGGGATCCACCACTACTTCTGCATGATGAACCGCCGGTACATCTATTTCAGCGCGAGCGACAGGTGCGAGATCATTTTGTAAATATCTTGCCAATGCAAGATGATTCGCTCGCTTCTGCATAGAATGTTTCCCCAAACCACTCGCTCCATTCGCATGCTGTAGAAGTTCGACGTATTCAAACTTACTCTTTTTTCCACCTTCACAAAAAGGGCAAGTAAATTTATTCCCATTAACTTGAACTTCATGACCTCCATTTCTCAAAGATTTATACAAAGTTTCTGTCCATTCATCAACATCGTACTCACTGAAATCACTATCATCTTCGGAGCTGGAGTGTGCTCTTTTTGCCATCTATATTTGTCTTCAATAAATAGGCTAATAATAAATAGGAAATAATTGTATATAAGTACTCATAACCAAAAAAAAAAAAGATAACAAAGTTATAAACAGACATTAGTGACTTTCTACCTTTATAAAAAGAGTTTTTGAGTTAAAAAATGGTTCAAAAAAAGGAGAAGAGATAAATATAGGTCGAATTTTGGGGACGAGCAAAATACCGATATCGGATTCCTAAAATCCGATTTTCCCATTAAATCGGATTCTCCAAATCCGACCTTCCCTTAATACGAAAAATTAATGAAATTAATCAAGATTAAGAGAAGGCTAGATTTTGAAAATCCGACCGTATCATATTAAAATAAAATATTTTCAGAAAAACACTTAGTTTTTTTTTTGAAATAAAATTTTGACCAAAATCCGTTTTTTAAAATCCGATTTTAGCGTAAGGTCGGATTTCAGAAATCCGGGTAAGTTTAAATCGGAATTGGAGAATCCGTGTAAGTTAAGTTCGGATTCACAAAATCCGATTCTTCGTAAAACAAGTAGAAGGTCGGATTTCTCAAATCCGACCTTGGACAGATATTTTGAAAAAAATAAAGGATTGGTTTCTAAACTAATCCCAACTTATCAAAACAGCACCAAAACCAAATTTCACGCATAAAATTACCTATAAACACATTCTAAACACATCAAAACAAACATTAACAAATTCAAATCCCAAATCATCCAAATTACAATATTCATACATTAAAGAGTTATAAATGAAAGAGTCCTACAATTGAATTACTTTGATGACCTTTTCTTCTTTATAGCCCCGTCGCCGGGAGTATACTTCTTGGCCAGTTTACTAACCCTATCACTCTTGCGAACCTCGACCATTTTCTTTTTCTTTTGGGAAGAAACACGAGGTGGAGAGGACTCTTCTTCTTCTTCTTCTTCTTCTTCTTCTTCTTCTTCTTCGTCGCCCCTAATGTAGTAATCCTCATCGCTTTCATTGCCTTCATCATTTTCATCATCTTCTTGCATCGGAGTTAGATTGGGGTGAACTATGATTGTTCGATCTGAAATTCCCGGTCGCTTCCTCCTTCCTCCAGTAGGCTTCGATGTTGTTTTCTGCGTGAGCACCACATTTTGACTTGACTCTGGGGGTCTTTTCTGAAGAACTTGAGTATCGAGCTGAGTGCTCATATCACGTGGGCCCAACGTCAGGGCACTGAAACTCTTGTCGAAGATTTGGAAGAGTTTATCCTCTAGACTACCACCGAGGCTTGGATTTTTCCGTAAGGCTGCATCAGCGAGATGATATATGTCCGCTGAGATTTGAAGATTGCAGAAAATTGAACCATGTTAATAAAGTATAAGATATAGCAAGAATTAAAATATAAAAAAAAATTAAAATAAAATATCGACATATATCTTACATAAAATCTCTCCAGAGATGAAGACGAGTGATAACCCTGTGCCAGAGGGCCGTATTGCGTGAGATCAGTTATAAATCTGATAGTCTTCTTTTGAAACCACGGCATGTAGTCCGATGTACATTGAGGACCTAGTTTCGGATCAACCAGTTCATGAGGGATCACGTGCTGATCTCTCACATTCCAATGAGGTCATACCTCAGTGTGTTTTTGCACCCAATCATCATATGCCTTTCCAGTCCCAAGGCATCTGTGGTGTATCGCATTCCAGCGATCAATGTCATTGATTAACGGGTACTCTGGCACAGTTTGCACGCATTAAAATTGACAAAGGACCCTATTGGGCTCGTATGGTTCTCTGATAGCCCAACAAAAGATCCACGTCCTACAGAGGTAGAAATGAACCCCCTCTTTACAGAAATCAAGGAGATCGTCGATGAAGGGAGTGTATAGAGTTCATAGAAACTATCCAAAATTAAAAAATTGGTAAAAAAATAGAGAAATAAATGAAAAGGAATTTTATCGAGCAACTTAAATCAATACTTACATCCCCATCCCTTAGGCTAGATAACTGATCACTGATGCCAGCAACACAATGAGCGGCGATGTTCGCTTTGGATTTTGGGCATTTCCACCTATGATTGAGATATAATAGGAAATAAAAAATAATAAAATAAATCATTGGATTGAGACATAATAGGAAATAAAAATTGATAAAATAAATCTATAATTACCTATTGCCTAGTGGTGCATCCGACACCAAGTAACTCTTATCTTTAACCTTCCTCTTTGGTTGAAGTCTTCGGATACGCTCTCAAACCCATAACTGAAATTTTAAATCAAACAGAAAAGGCACAAATTAGGAAAACAAACAAAAATATAATAAAAAAATATAAATAAACAAAGAAACAAAAAAATTCACCTGCATCAGCATATAACATCCGGTAATGTCTTTTTTCCCGGGCGCGGAAGCTTGACACAAAGCAAAGTACAACTTCGCTAACACAACTGAAGCCAAACTGTAGGTAGCACAGACATCCAAATCCTCGAGTATTGTCAGGATCCAAAGTGGTATTCTGTTTCCCGTATTGTCAGGAATCAAGAAACCTCCAATCAGTGGTAAAAGTAATGCACGGGCCATCTGTGTATCGGCCTCTCTTGGGGCATTTTCTGGGATCGGACGCAGACACTTGTTGATTAAACACTCTGCATAAATCTTATTCCCATCAAACATATCACTAACGGGTGTAATTCCCAACAATCTAAAGCACATCGCCATCAACTGTGCCATAGAATTCTCAGGTGTCATCCCCTCCACAGGCTTACCATCCACTTTCAAACCTAATAACACCTCAACGTCTTCTAGAGTGATAGTGGCCTCGCCAAAATGAAAATGAAAGGTATGAGTTTCAGGCCTCCACCTCTCAACCATTGCGGTGATCAAACAATTGTCCGCTTGGATATAACCTAGTTGGATCACCCCCCCAAAGCCTGCCCGCTTTATCTCATCTATAACTTGTGGAGGGCAATGCCGGGATGGTTTCTCTATACACGTCCAAAAATGACTACCAAATCTCCTACCTTTAAGGGCTTTACTAAATGCCTCATGGTTCTCGAAAATGGCTTTCGCCCTGTGATGGTCATAAAGGTATAATAATGAGTCATCTATTGGAGCCGGATTAAAATGTTGCTGTGTAGGTTGCGAGGAGCTCGAACCCTCCATTTTTTAATCCTATAATACCAAATACTATCAATACCATGTTCCATAATCTATCAATACACAAACACACAGAGTCACAAACACACACACACACACCCCGAATTGGTCACCGGGAAACACACACACACACAGTCACCGGCAACACACACACACACAGTCACTGGCAACACACACACACACACACACACACAGTCACTGGGAAACACACACACACACACAGTCACCGGCAACACACACACACACACACACACAGTCACCGGCAACACACACACACACACACAGTCACCGGCATTATCAAACAACTTATTATAAAAATTACCACAAACAAGGCATAATCAACACTAAATTTACTAAACCCCTTACAAATTCAAAATTTTAGGCCAAATTCAAGAATTTTACTAAATTGAACGTTCAATACCACGTATACAACAACAATCATCAACTACACCCAACATCAACCCTAAAACCTCATAAATCATCCTAGTTCTACACTTTTACAAAGAAAATAACAACAATAATTTTAAATACATCAAAACATTAACTAACCTTCTTGTGAAATGGTTTTAAGACATCCGTTGCGAAGAATCGTGAACAAAATCTTCAAATCACCACTAAAATCACCTCCTCCTTCAAGAAATAGCCTCCTTTACCAAAAATCCCGATACGTGAACAGTGTTTTCCGTCGCCCCATTATAACACAAAAAGGTCAGATTTCTAAAATTCGAGTTTATAAGTAAAATCGGATTTAGGAAATCCGATTTAATTGGAAGGCCGGATTTCAAGAATCGACCTTCTGCCAGCTAATAACGTCCATTCAATGCCGATATCTCCTGTTAGGTATGCTTAAATAAGGTCGGATTTTGTAAATCCAACCTTGTACTATTCTTAATTTTCAAATCTCCCGCCTATATTCTTTTAATAAAAATAAACAAGGTATTCCTAAAATCCGACCTTTTACTGTTCATTATTTGACTTTCAATACATTTTTCTCACATGTATTTTTCGGAAAAAAACTGTTATTTTATTAAGTCGGATTCGTTAAATCCTAACTACTAATATAATTAATAGATCGGATTTTGTAAATCCGATCTCCACATTTTGCTTTACAAAAAAAATATATATATATATATATATATATATATAAATCTCTCTACTCCTTTTTCTAGTAGATTTTTTAACCAAAGCACCCTTTATAAAAAGCCTCATCTATATGAAAAAAACATGACGGTCCCTTTCTCCCTTTTTAAGCATGTCTCATCTATATGAAAAAAACCATGATGGTCCCTTTCTGCCTTTTTAAAAATGCCTCATTTATATGAAAAAAACATGATGATTCCCTTCTCCCTTTTTAAACATGCCTCATCTATATGAAAACAAACATGATGGTCCCTTTCTGCCTTTTTAAAAATGCATCATTTAGATGAAAAAAACATGACGATCCCTTTCTCCTTTTTTAAAATGCCTCATTTATATGAAAAAAAACATGATGGTCCCTTTCTCCCTTACTATTTGACTGACAGTGACATTTGGTCTAATGAGTTGATTTTAGATTTTCTCTGGACACCGGGATAACAGGATCAATTTCATCTTCATCGCGAAGCTGATCTTTTCCTTTCTGCTTAGTTCTGGACAACGAGATAACCGAATCATTTTCATCAGAAAGCTGAATTTTTCCTTTCCGCTTAGTTCTGAACACTTGGATAACAGGATCATTTGCTTTTTCATCAAGAAGCTGATTTTTTCCTTTCCACTTAGTACTTGACACCGGGATAGGGGCTTCAGGCTCATTTTCATCTTCATCACGAAGCTGGAAATTTCCTTTACGATTGTTATTTCGCTTCTTCTTGGCACCCATTTGAATTTGATGCTGACCCTTACCCTAGTGCCACAATGATGGGGATAAGACTTCACGGTATGGTTTAAAAGTATAGAACAATAACAACAAAGTCTGCAAACAAGAATGTGAATAAAGATATTCTTCGATGCTATCACAATGCACTTTAGGTTTATACATAACAATCAGAGTATTAACTTTGTAGACTATGTAAGTTAACTCTTACATCAAGTTATATATGTAAAAGTTAAACTGACACGGTGACCCATTCAAGCATATCAATTATTCCCAAGTCAGCAATGACGTATTGCAAAAACCACTTCCATGAATCTTCATTCTCTATCTCAACAACAGCAAATGCAACAGATATTTGGTTATTCCCATCGTATCCCACGGCCACAAGAACCTAACCCCCAGTTGGAGTTTTCAAGAAGGTCCTATCTGTACCAATCAGTGAAGAATGATGTGCCCATGATGCTGCTGGATTTCAAAGCGCAGTCACAAATGAGAGGTTATGTTTTCCTTTCCCTCTGCTAGAAAAGTATTATACTCCCTCTGTTTCATAATTATTGTGTAGTTTGAGATTTTACTTTTAGTGTAATTTGAATTAAAAATAAAAATACAAACTCAAATTAGACAATAATTATGGGACAGAGGGAGTAACTTTTACGGATGTTTAGCTTCGTACATATAGCAAAGTGCCTTCCGTACTCTCACATCGTGTACGAGTTAAATCACGGACAAGCATCCGTCAAAAATGTTATTAAGAGAGCGTTTTGGTGTGCTGAAGAGCCAATTCCATATGTTGTTGGCATGAATGTTTTGTTGGGGCATTGACACCCACAGGGATTATGTGATCGCATGTTTTGTTATTCACAACCTCAACAAAGATCACAACCATACGAGTGGTGACGAGGCCGATGATAACCAATTGTGTACTTTTTCAGGTGTAATTTTAAGTTTCATTTAGTACTAAGATAAATTAATTGAAATATTTGTTATTATGTAATGATCTAATATATTGATATACAAGAAATTCTTAGTTAAGAATAATTATTCACTGTCGTATTTCATTTCAATCAAATATTTTATTCGTTAACGACTAATTTTTTTTTAGTTTCTTATTGTTAGTGGATGAATAAAATAAAATTAGTCATCAAGGAGCTAATCGGTGTATTGAAGACCTACAATCATGATCTTCCTAGTGTTTCAGATCAGTTGAATGATTGTTTCAATCGTTTTTACATGGCCCCATAGCATTATGTTTTGTTTTTGGATTTAGATATCCCTTTTACCCTATTAAAGCAGAAGACATGAAGCTTATGTGGCAACTAAGTATGCATCTGTTTTGGCTCCAATGCACCATATTTCAGATTTCAGGAGTCTTTTTGCCACGTGTAAGTCTCTTTTAATTAGAAGTTATATAATTTTTTTTTAAAAAAAAACACATGTTTTACTACAAATAAGGATCAGTTAAATTTCAAACGAATAGATATATTAATTCAAATTCAAATGTCCAATCGTATAGTTTTGCAGGCTTAATATAAACAAAAAATAAAAATACCTAAATCCAGCAATTAAGAATAATGCCTTATAAACTAATTATTTATTATTCCCTTATAACCTCAGATTTATAGGTGTATTTTTTTAAGCCCCAAATCATAGCATAAATGATATATACGCCAAATTAATTCCTCAAAAAATAGTAATTCAATTAGATTTTAATAAAATAGTAATTTAGAAGGGGCACCCGGGTATCTGCCTGGGCCAAACATCTAGTTTTATTTAATACTGGTTTATTTAAGAATGTTATTATTTTTTATCTGTATCGAAAGTAAATCCACAATTGTCATTATTGCACACTATACGAATTTATATTTGAAATTGCTATTAAAAAAAATTAAATAAATATATCTAGGAATCTAGATCTACATATTCAAGTTTTTTTTTTAATTGCTAGATTAGTATTTTATTTGTTGACGTTCAAGAAGACTTGTTTAATTCTAAGGAGACATTTCAATACTATTAAAATATTTTCTTAAGGACAAGAAAACATTTCTAGGAAAATCAAATAAAATAACTATTTAGAAGTTAAAACAGTTTTGACAATTGACTCCAAGTTTCTGCACAAATTTTATGGAAAATGATTACAAATACTCCTTTCGCCTTGCAACTATTGTCTAACGAGGGAGTTTCTCGGACCATATTACTTCATAAGGCCACGACTCAAGTATTTCTTGCGAAAATTAAATAAAATAACTACTTAGAAGTTAGAACAGTTTTGACAATTGACGTCTCTGCACAAGTTTTATAGAAAATAATTACAAGTACTTCTTTCCCCTTGCAATTATTGTCCGACGAGGGAGTTTCTCGGACCTTATGGCTTCATCCCAGAAGTTGTGCAATCAAAAATGATTCGCCAAAACATCCACCCTCCCCATTGCCACTTATACTTCTTGGAATGCCATGTAGAAAACCATTTCAATTGTTCTAAATTTTCATACATAAAAAAACCAAAACTCTTTTTTTTTTTTTTTTTTACTTTCATCTACATATTCAAGTTATTTAACTTTACTAATGAAATAAATAATTTAATTAACCTAATTACTGAAAAATATTACCTGATTGATAAATAATGAACTATGTGTTTATATCTATTCACGCATTTGTCACAATCTTTGTAGTAAAATGATTATTTTAAATGTGTAATTATTATCCTTAACTAATAATTATCTTAAAAAATAATAAATATTATAAAATTTATTGTTTTAATATCAATTCGAATAATTTACTTAACTAATAATTGTAAATTTATACTAAATTAATATCACAATAAATGTACTACTAAAAATAAATAATTAATACAAAAGGAAAATAAAAAAAATAAATACAAGATTAAAATGACAAGAAAAAAAAAACTAAGAATAACCCCAATAGGGCTAGAGTAAAAAACTGGGAGGCTACTAAACGCCCTAAATTTTTCCCTTGAGCGCCCTAATATAACACCAAAAGACCATTTTACCCCTACCAGATTTTATAAATTATGAGTTTCAATTTCTAAATCAATCTTTCATTTCAAGTTTACTCATTCCAAAATCCCAAAAAACTCATATTCAATGGCGGAATGAATGAAACGGCTACGGAAAGAACCACAGAAACTGAAAGTACGTTCAAATTTGAGTTGTTTTTTTTTAAAAAAAAAAAAAAAAGCACCCCTGCCCCGGCCGGTGAAGGAGAATCGTGCCAGGGCAAGTAGAGCTGGCGCGAAGATTCGCGCCACTCCTTACAAAGCTGACGCGGATCTCCGCGCAAGCTCTATTTTCCCCGGCACGGTTCTCTTTCACTGGTCGGGGCTGGGGTGGCGCCCCTTTCTTCGCCACCGAAAGGGGGGGTGAGAAAGGTCTCGCCAGGCGGCTAGCGCCTGGCAAGATTAACCGGCGCCGGTTTTTTTGTTTTAGTATATTAATTTTTTATTTTATTTATTTAAATTTAATTGTTATTTATGAATTGTAGAATAAATATTAGTAATTTTAATTTAATTGTTAGTATTAGTAATTGTAAATCTTATGAAATTTAGTTTAATTATTTATTATTAGTTAAATTTATGCTTTTATAATTTAATCTTAGGAATTTATTTTTATTAGTTTAATTTATTTAGGAAACATTATTATTAAAAGTATATGTTTAATCTTAAGTAAGTAATTTAGTTATAATATTCATATTTAGGAATTCATTTGTAGTTTTAGGGACCTTCAAGTTTTTTAAATTAATTTAGAAAATTATGAAAGTTATTATAATTAATTTAATTATAGAAAATGTATTTGTAGGATTAGTCAGTTTAATTGTAATTAGCCTCAAAAAAAATATTATACGTTGAAATTAAATACTTAGTATAGGAAAATTAAATAAATAAGTATAAAATAAATAAAAAAAGAGGTTAATAGATAATTAGAGTTAATAAATTATTTATTTAATTGTGGTTAAAATTAAATAATAAATTAAATATTTATTTAATTTTGGTTAAAAATAAATAATAAAATATGTAGATATTATTATTTGTACTTAGTAGATTTAATAAATTAAACATTTAAGATATATAGTAGATAATTTTATAATTAGGTATTTAAATAATATAAAATTGTGTAAAAGTAATTAACCTAAATTAATAATTTATTATTTAGGTTTTATTAAGTATGTATTAAAACTAATTTTTTTGGGACGTATTCAGGATTAATTAAAGTTACGTGTAAAATTTAAAACTTTTGTAGGATGGGATATCGCCTCTTGAGGGATCTGAACATCGGCATATGCAATTACGCGCAATCTGTATGCAGAATATCGTATTGAAAAAGAAAAAAACTTAAAGAAACTGAAAAATATACATCCTACCTTTGGCCCACTTGGTGAGTCAGCCAACGTAGATAATGATGATGATTTTGAGGGAGAGGAAGAAGAAGAGGATAGTTTTGAGAGTTGGGGGGATGATGTGGATGAGGAGGATGAGGCAGCCAAGTATTCCTCGCTTGAGAGAAGGGATATACATTTTGGAGGTAACTTAGTACTGAACCCCATTGGTCGTACTGATGATCAAAGTCCAGTTCACCCTACCCGGGGGGAGAAGACCCTTGTTGGATTATCGGTCCTGAATTCAACTTACACTCCCGGTGGTTCCAGTGTTCGTGTCGGCCCATAGAGTACTCTTTTCAGAGGTCCCAGTACTACTCTTCATCATGAAGGCCCACAGAGTGCACTTTTTAGAGGTTCTAGTACTACTCTTCATGATACCGGACTGCGGGGCATTTTGTTTGGAGGTCCTAGTAGTACTCTTCATGATGTCGACCCCCATCATCGTTATGGCGGGACGTCGGTGCACCTCCCTCTGACTAGTCAGCCTCGTTCCCATTTTGGTGCCGCCCCATTGGTGCCTCTAGCCGTCCTGAAGTAGCTGCAACGTCATCAGATACGTATTTGTAACTATTTAAGCATTCATTACTGCTTGGCCAATTTCTTAATTGCATTCT